AGAGCCAAAAGTAATTTATTGCTTCTGTTATTTTTTTTTCTTTATGTGTCTTTACATACAGCTCTCAAAATTATCTTTATCCCCTGCACATCAATACTCAGGAGGAGGAGGAGCAACCCTGTAAGCCAATCAGGGCTCTGCTAAATTATATGGTGCCTTCCACTGAATGATTGCTGAGTGAAGCAAAAAAGAGTGATGTTCTCAACAGTGTACTGCTACTCCATCATGGTCTAATGACACTTTGGGGCATCCCTAAACAAAGCTATAATGTCCAACTGCAGGACTGTCTGCAGAGAGGTCTCAGTGAGTGTAGCTCCTGGCTTCCCTGTATGTCAGGAGTGCATGGTTACAAGATTAGCTGAACAAAATGGGTGGGAATATCTAACAAATTCTAACATTTATTTCAATAGTGCACTCAGTTTCTCCCCTAGGAGTTCTGAAATTAATTCACACCTTGAACTTCGAGCAGAACCCTCCCTCCATGTTTTGCAATAAGTCAACATTCACATTTAACACATTTTACAATTTACATATTACATAAAGCTAATACACTTGCCTGTTAATGCAATTTGATCTGTGGGATGAAATTTTATTGAGTTCACTGCAAAAAAACAAAAAACATTTCAACTTGTTAATGAAAGAAAATGAGGCATTACATTGCTACAAATGTAACTATCACAATATTCAACTGCAAACCACAGTAAAAGATATCACTAAGGTATACCATGAAATTACAATGATATGGAATAAAATATAGCGGAGGAATTCCTAACAATGACAGATGAATTCTGTGTTACTTCCATGTGTCATAGGGACTTAATAAAGTAGTGCAAAGATGGTGATGTGCAGAACCTACAAAAACGAATCATATTTCAGGTTATAGTAATAATGCCACCAATGTGAATGCATAGCTCTCAGTCCTCTCTCTTCCAAAGGAGCAAGCTGCCTTGGGCCCAAAACCCTCTGTTTTTCCTTCAGACCCAGAAATATATTTAAATTAAAGTTTTCATGCCGGGACAAACAGAAGAAAAGCTCGTCACACAACGGATTCCGCTGGGATAGTTTATTGAAACTTTGACCACATCACTGTTGTCCCGCCCAAGGTCCCCCCTTCAACGTGTTTCACCCAATCACAGGCTTACTCAGAGACTAAGGGTCCCCACACACCTTACGATTATCGTACGATAATCGCGGGAAATCCCGCGATCGTACGATGATCGTAAGGTGTGTGGAAGCCGTGCGACCTCTACTACTGTAAGGTCGCACGACTATAAACTTACGGACATGTTTGAAAACCCGCCGAGCATCGTACGATGTTCGGCGGGTTTGTGGCATGTCCGTACGATAACAGCCGCACGGGCCGGTTCGGCATTGCGGTCATCGGAAGCCCGCCCCTCAGGGGGCGTGGCTTACGATCATCGCAAGTACGATCTGCCTATGCAACATAGGCAGATCGTACGTTTTTTTAAGTACCTTACAACCATCGCAAGACAGAAGTCTTGCGATGGTTGTAAGGTGTGTGCCCAGCCTAAGACTAAGCCAGTGATTGGGTGAAACGCATCAAGGAGGGTGGACCTTTGGTAGGACACCAGTGATGTGGTACAAGTTTTAATAAACTATCACAGCGAAATCCGTTGTGCGACCACCTTTTCTTCTGTTTGTATGGGCTCATATTAGAGCGATGACGTGCTTCCAGTGGCAAGCACCAGGCTCATTCCTCTCCTGAGCGGAGGAGGAGCAGTGCTTCTTATGTGTGTTTTTCGTGCCCAGAGTTCAGCTTTAACCAACACTGGTGTTTATATTGTTTTAGAGTATACTGCTTTAATTTCGATGGAAAAGTAACGATGCAACGCACAGAAACTGATGAAGGCAGAGACTGCAAGTCTAAAAAAAGTCTCTAGATTTTCAAGCAGTAGGCCAAGCATTCACTTCTTTGTTCTACTGGTACCTGGTTGATACATCAGTATGAATTTGCCAACTACATTGGGTCCCACATTGTAATCAAATCAGACCCAGTGCCATTCGTAAAGGATAACTTGAAATGTGTCTTAATCAGGAGTTCTCCCCTTCTCCCTGGCTCCTGCATCAATTTGTTAAACACAGTGTACCTCTATTTAGCAGAAAACCTAGGTAACACGGTGTTTGCTCCTTCCTCTTCTTTGACTACGGCCCAGCTGAAGATGGGATACAGCTATACAAAATTAGTTTAAGACAGGTTTTGGGCAGACTGGCCATTGTTCTCTATGGTTAGGATCTAAGCCTTAGCCTGGCTCCTGCTTCACATTCTGCTGATGCAATTATCCTTTAACCAGCCAAAACCATTTCTTTTAGCTCAGGATAGAAGCAGAAGGGGGTTAGAATCTACTTTACAACAAACTCTCAATTAGTCTTGATTTCAGTTCATGTTTACCTGATCCAGCATGGCCGACATACTTGGTAAGGCATTTTCCTGTTTCAATACTCCAAAGCAATGCTGTGTGATCTGCAACAAAAAAAATCATGGGCTTACAAACAAAATCTAAACTGATATGAACAGATCTTTCTACAATTATTTTAAGAAAACATGTGATCGGGTTAAGCTCCACAAACGATATATCTTACAGAGAAGGTACCACCAGGCTGCTGAGAAAAAGCTGTAGGACAGCCCAGGAACTCCCTAGATTAGGATGCAATGCAAATATTAACTTTTGCAAAAGTTGGTGTTGAAGTAGTCTCCAACTGCATGACAATACAATGCAGATAACGCTCAGAAAGCTGCTCAGGTGCCCACAATACCTCAGCATAGATTCTGACATTAAGGAACATTTCTATACTGCATGAGCTCCGAGTTTGGGAAGGCAAAATCCATAGGAGCCCTTTGTGAATATGGCTGCATTCACTATTATGTCGCTTCTGTGCTATTGCCATGAGCAGCAAGCTATCTAGAAACAGCCATTTGTTTGTGACCAGGCATAATTTGAAAATGGTGAGGGGTCAAAACCACTGTCAAGTGTTTTTTTATACTAGCTGTGTCCCTGTTAGGGAGATTCATTCCCCCACGATAGTCCTCATCACCAATTTCACCGAAAATCAAAGTAAATCCAAAATTTGAGTTGCCACCAGAACAGAAATAGAGGGGAAATCTGTCAGTGGGAGGGGGCAACTGTCTGAGGCCTCATTCACACCAAAACTGCATTGAAAAGGCATGCGTTTTAGCCATTGCATTGTGATGCGTTTTGCCGCGTTTTTGATGCATTCCGATGCAGTTTTTTTTCTCAAAATGCAAATCAGACCATATGTCACTTCCTTCTTCTTGTCACAGCACTTTCCTCCTTCATTTTCTAGCTCAGACATGCTTCCTTTGTTTGAAGGCATGGTGTTAGTGTTGGCTACAGCCATTCTCACCCAACATAGGAGGTTATTATAATATAATAATAATGTCGTTATTGGGTGCACCCCTTGCTGACGGTCAGAGATATTTGATTATTAGATTAGCATCCATGTCTGCCATGTTTCCAGAGCTGTCCCATTCCTAATCTCCTCTACCAACTCACAGGAAGTCCCCAGAAGATGACATTACTAAATCTGTGGGTTTTTGTTAGTTGCGTTGAGTTCCGTTTGCATGTGTTCGTATGCGTTTTGATGCAGCTAAATTAGTGCAAGCAATACTTTTTCTGGCTGCATCGGAACGGACTAGTCTGGTGTGAACAGAACAGAATCCCATTGGAAATCATTGTGTTGCGTTTTTGATGCAGCTCAAAAACGCAACGGACTGCATCTGGTGTGAATGGGCCCTTAGAGGGGGATTTCCATTATATTGAAATAAGCTCTCATTTCCAGTGCTGTCTATGGGACCGGAAGTGAAAGGAAATCTCCCCAACATGGACACCGGTAATAACACTCCCATAACTATCCAAAATCGAGAAGAAACAAAAAGTTTTGGCCTTGGATATGCTTTAAGCTTTTCACAAATATCTATAGTGCTGGGAATCTGTTTGGAAGTGTCTCCTTGTCTTTTGGAAATATGTGACAGACTGTACAAAGCAGGGTTTAGACAGCTGTGCCTAAACTCCTGTTTCTCTATTATTTTCTCTCTGGTCTGGTTTTATTTTTGTAGCTCCAGTTATAGTAGAGAGGCTAAACGGAACCATAAAGCCCTCCAAGTAAACCAACCCGAAGCAGCTGTATGCAGTTTGAAATAAATGTCTCCATAATATTAGGCTGTATCTGTGCTATAAACCAGCAGATGGCATGAATGGGTAAAGAAATATCAACTCACATTATTTTTGGTATATCAGCCTCGTAAAAAATCCCTGAGAAGGCGGAATGCAATGTTTCATATGCTTTCATATTTTGCTTAATGTGCACCTGTGCTCAGAGCATGAACATTTTGGCCTCATTCACACTAGAAACGGCCGGGACGTACAGCTCTGTGTACGGCCGTATCGGGCAGCTCCCGGGAAGCAATCCTTTACCTCTTTAGCTGCCAGAAATGTGAAGTAAATCATCCTAAATGTCAGTTTATAACAGTTGAGAAACACCTGCCAAGAGTTAGAAGGGCAGCACACACCCAGTATTCTGCTCTCCATAGAAAGTAATGGCTAAAAGATGTGATTTCAATGCCTCTGTTGCGAGCTTTGTGTAAACACATTTCTCCTTAATGCTTATAGCCACAGAGATGAGGGCTTGTTTCAAAGCGTTTTTATCGCTTGTTCAGAATATGTAAATACTTTATTGTGCATAGTCTGAGTGAAGGTTCACTTTAAAATACAATGCATGTACATTTATATATTTACAGAAATATGTGTAATTGACTAAAAAAATCCAACTGTAAAAATCAACAGAAATTCTACTAAATTTAAAAAAGGTATTAAAGACCAATTCCAGGCAACATGTGGAAGCAATCAAAGAACTAGTAGTACTGTACAGTACACTCTGCAACTTTGCTAAAATTAGACAGTTCACTTAATTAACCTAAATCTAAGGTGCAGCTAAACCCCTGCAACACTGCACATACAGAGCCAGGAGGCCACTAGAGGTTTACTTCTAAAAATGTGCTCTGTGTAGCTTCCCTTCTCTGCTTCTTGCATCACCAACCACAATCAAGCTTACAGGGCAGGTTTTTCAAGGAGAGATTTCTGTGAGAGGAAGCAAAGAGCCTGCAATGTGTGTTCCTATATCAACAGATTACCAATAAAAGGGAGCAGGGTGGATTGGTGCAGTAGTACATGGATGATGAATTTAAGTGTTAAGCAGGTACGTTGTGTTCAGAGTATGCATCTCAAGGCTTCATTTTCAATTATGACTTGAGTGTACCTTCATGGGCAAAGCACAAATTCACTTTAATAATGTTCTTCCCAGCAGTTCAAACTTGTTTTCCTTTTGCATTCCTACCACTACATTCAGCAGACAGGACCAGGGGAAAGGGGAACCTGTGTATGTTCTAAGGTACCCTAGTTGGAGTTAATGAAGAGCTGAGGACTTTATACCCACTGCCATGTGACAGCTCCAGGCTGCTCACCAAGCATCTAAACGGTCAGATGAGAGCAAGGTAAGGAGTCACATGTTCCTCTTTACCACAGGTATTGTCTGCTAAAAGCAGTAGCACAGGAACAAAGGAAAGGTGAATATGTGTTGCTGGGGAGAGGGCTTTAACGCAAACCTGTTGCATTGCATGGGCAAGCACAAGTTTATTTTAATGGGGCGGCTGGTACACTGCTGAAAAAGCAAAAACTTCTCCAGTCATGAAATGAGTTATGTATCCAATTTGTTAAAATGCAGGTTATTGTGTTGTTAACCAGCTACATATTATGCAAATGCAATAAAAACATTTACGCTACCAGCAGAAGCTGTGCCCAGAACCACCGGGTGTGTCCGTGTTACTCCAACATCCCAAAGTCCGTCTCTGTGTCCAACGTACTCTTTCACCAACTGGCAGATCGCCCGAGAAGTTGTGGTCTTGAAACTGGAAACTATCTAAAATAAAATATAAAATGTTATATTTGGGAAGCACACACAAAACACCTTCGGCAAGCACAAAAAAAGCAATCTGTTAATTAAACAACCGAGGAAAACAGTAAGTAACACACAATTTTGCAGCCAGTTTACCTCTGGTTAGTAGGTAAATTGCAACTCAGTACGCTACTTCCTCTATCAAGGAACCAAATCTATACAGCAAACATATAGAGAGACGATGCCAAGTAGTCAACATGAGAGTGATGTACATACATTACAAAGCAGCTGGTTTTTGATGCATTCACATACTAGTAAGTGGCTGGGAAATAAGGTTTTTTAGTTAATGTGTGAGTCGCTGATCAATCTAAGTTCTTCTTTCAACCTAGAAGTACTGACCAAAAGAACAAAGCCCTAGTTGCAAGTAGCAGAGGTGAGGTTTCTAAGTAGGACTGTTGAGACTGCACAAGAAAAACAGAAGCAGAATTATGGTCTGAATGTGTCTGACTAGAGCAGAGGTTCCTCTGAAGAGTTACCAGCTTAGGTGGTCTGAACATTTTAATAATGCTATACACTGCTTGAAACCAACTACGAGGAGGCCTAGATGTAGACCGAAGACATACTAAACAAGATTATATCTCCTAACTGGTCTGACTACATTTTGAAATTCCCCTGGAAAGCAACAGTCCACATGAGGGCACAAAGAAGTTATGTTAATTCTTCACCGCATGGGATGAAGATTATTTGCAATATACTGATTTTAATGTGTAACAAACAATACTGTAAAAAATTGGTTAATTAAGATCACTTACAGATATGTCCTCAACAATTCTCTTTGAGGGTAAAGATGTTTTTTTTTTTATGGTCCCGTAATTCTGATATTGCGCAGAATTAGGGATGCACCGATACCGATTTTTCTGTATCGGGTACCGATATTTTTTTTTTCCCAGTACTGGCCAATATCAAACCCCAATACTGGAAGTACCATTAAGGAAGCCAGGTGGCGTGCAATGACTCGCTGCCCGGCTTCCCGATTAGCCAGAAAGCCGGCTCCATGCTCCCTCGTCACCAGGTGACAAGGAAGCATGGAGCCGGGTTTTCTCGCCAATCAGGAAGCTGGGGGCAGGTATTAACTCGCCGCCTGGCTTCCTAATTGGCCAGCTTCAGGAACAAAGTAAAATGATGGCTCAAAGTCCAGCTTCTCAAAAGGATTCTATACCATGCAGATTAAACGCATAAAAGGAAATTCAGATACCAATCTGACAACTTGGATAAAGTTGTGTGATGGGGTAGAGAAACACAATACTTCAGGGAAAATTCCCCATTGACATCCAAGAATGAGTCAAATTTCAAAAAGTTTACATCTATAACATTTACAAGACAACCTAAGGTAACGATTTAAAATATAGCAACAAAAACTTACTGCATAAATGTAGCTGCACAGAAATAATTTTTAGCATCAAATTTGTAAAACGATACTACTTTTCAGAAAGAAAGACTCAAATTTACATACCCAATATATAATATCAGTAGATCAGCTATGTGACTATCATTAATAGCAAACTTTTTGAAAAATAAAGGCTCACATTTTAAACAGTGACTCACACTAAAAGCTCAGTCATCAAGTCCAGCTCAAGCAGAAAAAGCTTGATAATAAGCTAGCAGCACAGCAACATAAAATAAAGTGAAAAAATAAATTAAAAGCTCAGTGACACTGAAACAGTGTTTTTAAGCCTTGGTGTCCCCCCACCCATGTGAATGTTGTAGGATGTTCATTATCTGGTCCATCAGCAGATTCAAACACACTTCCTTTCTCCAAAATCTGCAGCCTAAGCAGACTACATCAGGGGTCCTTAAACTTTTTAAACTGGGGGCGAGTTCACTGACATTGTTGGGGGCCCACATTATACTTCGAAAAACGGGGGGTGTGGCTGCAGTCCCATTGACTTTAATGCACCGCCACGCCCCCTCCCTTCCCAGAACTCGCATCACGGATTCCTAATTGGTTAGGAAGCCAGGCTTCCTACCAAAAAGTGATTGGCTAGGAAGCTCGTTTCACTTGTTACTAGGCAGCTTGGTTTCCTGACCAATCAGGAAGCCAGGAGGCAGTTCATTACATGCCACCTGGCTTCCCGATTGGTTAGGAAGCCAGGATGCTGAGGAACACGTGAAGCCGGCTTCCTAGCCAATCAGGAAGCAGGTCATAACCCACCGCCCGGCTTCCTGATTGGAAAGGAAGACTGCTCCATGCTCCCTCGGCACTGCTGGACAGAGGAAGAACTCCCTCTGACTGGAAGTTCCGGTATGGGGGTAAGTATTGGAGCATTTGGACAAGTACAAGTACTTGCCCAAATACTTTGTATAGGCACCGATACCAATACTAGTATCAGTATCGGTGCATCCCTAGTGCAAATCCATTTTATTGATAGTCGTCATTCAAACGGCAAGCGCATTTCTGAGCCTGATGAAGGTGACACTGCGCAGCCCGTAGTTTGAGGACCCCTGGACTAGATAGTCCTGTTACAGATAAGCATTAAAAATTAAAGAAAAAAAAGTGAAACACTTCCCTGAGCTTTTTTTTCTCCCTAAAGTCCTAAAACATTTTATTTTTGGCTATGTCTCGGTTATTTACGCACATTATATCTTTAAGTGTGTGTAGTCGACCCTAACATATTATACATTGTTCTTTTCCAAACAAAGAGGGCTTTAATTTGGTAGCACATTTGGTTAAAATATATTTTTATTTTCTCTTTACCGTGGGAAATATTAGTTAAAATAAATAGAAAAAAAAAATGCACTTTCCTTTTAACTTTTTCAAATGCAAGGTTTACATAACCTCCAAATATAGCATAAATCTAAACAAAGTCTGCGGATTAAAAGACTGTTACATAAAAGTCACATTAATGTAGGGTAGCAGATGGTAAAGCACAAAGTGAACGTATGTGTAAAGGAGAGCTTTATTCCTCTACTTTGCACTGCACACGGGTGGGAAAAAAAAATAGTTTGTGTAAATTGTTAGCATAGCATTAGGATAGGAACAAATAGGTTTGACAAAAGTTCAAATTAGCAGAACGGCAAATTTTTCACAGGTTTGCGATACTGCTTTCAATTACCTGACCATTTGATGCTATTATATATTATTAACATATTTAATATTTCACGTAAGCCGCAAGCCTGTATTTATTACATTATATAAAGCCTGACTAGAACAATAAATACAGATGGTTCAATTGGGCTTTAATCTTAGTTCTTTGTAAACCACTACAGCAACATTTTGTAGCGCTCCTCAGATGTGAGGTGGGTGGGTCTGCTTATGGATGTCTGGCCTGTTTCAAACTTCCAAGGCATGTTTGGGTCTGACTGGTGGCTGTGAGGAACACCCTGGTACTGATGAAAAAAAAAAAATAGGCTTTCTATACAGAAAGGCAACAAAGATCTTCCAGCAGCTTTTGGGAATAATTCTCCTGCATTACAAATGGATAAGCAAAAGGGTTTTCCAAATCAGTGGGTTACCAACAAAAGGGCAGCTATTGAGTTAGAACCCCAGATTGCTAGGCAACAGCGACGCCACTGACACTGCCAGATCATAGGACACGTTTGTTCTGTGCAATGGCAATGAAAGTGATAAAATTCCTCTTCCACTCGTTTAGCTTATTTTTCTGAAGTGTATTTTCTGATAATTTTGGTGGGATTATGAAGTCATTATGATGTCATAAGGTGGGTGTATGCTGGGTAGCTATGGAGTATTAAATAGGGATGCACTGTTACCGTTTTTTCGGTATCAAGTACCGATATTGTTTTTTGGTAGTCGCCGATACAAACTATCGATACCGGAAGTCCCATTAAGGAAGCCGGGAGGCGTGCAATGACTCGCCGCCCGGCTTCATGATTATCCTGGAAGCCGGCTCAATGCTCTCTCGTCACCAAGCTTTGAGCTGGCCAATCAGGAAGCCGGAGGTATTTGGGCGAGCATGAGTACTCACCCAAATACTCGGTATTGGTGCATCCCTAGTAATAAAGGCTGTTTGACTTGCACATGCTTTGTCATTGTATCACCTTGAGGAAGGGACCCTTCAAGGCCCCAAAACTATGGAAACATGTATCCTATGTGATCTTTTATATAACACACATTCTTCTTTGATCTTCAGTTGAGTGCTGTTGACTCTTCTTCTCTTCTCAAGCATAGGCAGTTCTAGGGCTACAGATATCCCTAAATATTAATATGAAAAAAAGTGTTGAGAGATAAACAGAAGACTTTCTGTCTTGCCACACTGACAACTGTTGCTACTGAGACTATCAGCAGATAACAAAAAGATAGATAGTGAAATGTGTACATTTTTAACTATCTCAAGTTTAATACATTTACATTCACGTGTCCCACATGTGTGACTCTCTCTGCAGTCTTCTATTTAGGCCTTGCCATCTACTGGCTGCAAGTGGTAAAAGATGAAACATTAATTTATATTAGTTCATATTTATCAAATAAAATATTTACCAGAATAAATAAGCTTTTAAAAAAAAAAATCAAATAGTGACCCACAGACTAGCACAGAGAAAAAACATTGGAGAAATGCTGTTAAAGGAAACTTGTACTAAAAGAAATGAGAACTACCATAGGTGGCCTGAAAATGCTTCCTGACTGTCAAACGGATTCTTGACTTCACTGCCTTTAAGGTCCTTTAACAGGCAAGCAACTAGTAAAGGCAGTACTCTTGATCGCAAACTAGTCCAGGGTCGGTGACAAACTAGTGGAGACAGGGTCGAGCTGACACAAGGCAACTAGCATTCTCAGAATGACCGCCTCGGTATTCTCCCCAGCACAGCTTTACTTTAGACATGGTCCGTGTCCAAACCCTTTACTAAACCATGGCAAGTGAGAGAGACTTTGTTTGCATCTATTGGCAATAGCTTTCAGAGAAAGGGCAGTGACTGTAAACAAAAACAAAGAACATGAAGATTTCTGCATTAAGGGCCTTCGGAGCTCATCGGCTGCCAGTTCTATTCGTTCAAAGATTTTCCAACCA